GCATCTAGCTTTTTCTATGCCAGCTCCAAAAATAGTTCCAGTCTGAAGGAAGTGTTTTGAGAATTTGGCTAGGGACCCAGAAGAGGTTACAGGCTGAGTTAAAAAACACACACGAAAATTCCTTCTTCAATTACCCCTATTTTACATGAATTGCATGGCCAGAGTCCATCTTCTGAATGCATTATTTATGTAAAAGTTCAAAATTATTTAGTATCTGTTTCTATACTTCATGAACCCTTATAGAAAAAAATATTTCTACATACCCTCACTGTTTATATTCTGAGCAGATTACACCCACACACACACACACACACACACACACACACACACACACACACTGAGTGGCCAGATTATTATGATCTCTGAAAGCATAATTATCTGGCCACTCAGTGTATATCCTATATAATAAAAGGCTAATATGCAAATTGTCCCTTCAACCAGGAGTTCAACCAGCAGGCAGGCCAGCCAACCTCCCATCCATGTTCCCTCCCCCTGGCCAGACTGGCCAGCTCCAACCAATGCACAAATTCATGCACCGGGCCTCTAAAATATATATACTGAGTGGCCAGATTATTATGTGTTCAGAGATCATAATAATCTGGCCACTCAGTTTGTGTGTGTGTGTGTGTGTGTGTGTGTGTGTGTTGTGTATGTGTGTGTGTAAAATTTGGGGGAGGTATTATTCTTTCAAATGTATTTAGGCAGCCTATGTAATTTAGCTGTCAAAATTTTCTTTAAATATAAACTCATAAACTCACAAAATATATACTTTTATAGTACTTTCCATTATATGCTTAGTCATTACAGTATGGAACTTAATGAACTTAGTAGCACTAAATAGAATTTGTGTCCAATGAGAATCTAAGAAAGATTGGTGTAGCCAATTTCAACACTCATGAGGCTTTTTTTTTTTTTTTTGGTTGGTTTGTTTTCATGTGTCTGTAGACTTTTAAGAAATACAATAACGTCATCCTATCTTATAAAAGAGTAATATGCAAATTTACCATCACTCCAAGACACAAGATGGCCACTCCCATGTGGTCAAAGATGGCTGTACCCATGTGGACACAAGATGATCACCACAAGATGGCCTTTAGTGGAAGGCAGTTGTGGCCAGTTAGGGGTGACCAGACCAGCAGAGGAGAGCAGTTAGGGAGTACCAGGATTGTTGGGGAGGGCAGTTCTGGGTGATCAGGCAAGCAGGGAGGGCAGTTAGGGATGACCAGGTTGACAGAGGAGGGAAGTTGGGGGAAACCAGGTCAGCAGGGTAGGGAAGTTGTGGGGGACCAGGACTGCAGTGGAGGGCAGTTGGGGTGGACCAGGCCTGCAGGGGTGGACAGCTAGGAGCAACTAGACTGACAGGGGAGAGCAGTTATGGGTGATCAGACCAGCAGGGGCGGACAGTTAGGGGCAATTGGGCTGACAGTTAGGGGAGCAGTTAGGCATCGATCAGGCTGGCAGGGTAGTGGTTAGGAGATTATCAGGCTGGCAGGCAGAAGCTATTAGGGGCAATCAGGCAAAGGCAAGTGAGTAGTTTGGAGCAAGCAGTCCTGTATTGTAAGAGGAATGGTAGTTGGACATCCCTCAAGGGATCCCAGATTAGAGAAAGTGCTGGCTGGGGGCTGAGGGACAACACCCCCCCACACACACACATGAATTTAATGCACTGGGCCTCTAGTTAATATATAATACACATACTATCTAATTCACTCACTTAAAGTACACAAGGTAGTGGATAGGATTATCATTACTATCTAATTCCAGAATATTTTCATTATCTCCAAAGAAGATAGCATACACATTAAGTAGTTTTTCTTCTTTCTCCCCTTAACTAGGCCTTCACAATCAGTAATTTGCTTTTTTACTCTATGGATTACCTATTCTGGATATTTAATATAAATTGAACCATGCAATATGTTGCCACTGTGACTGGCTTCTTCCATTTAGCATAATGTTTTTTGAGGTCCATTCATGTTGTAGCATCTATCAGCACTTTATTCCTTTTGATGATGTAATAATATTCCATTTTTTTTGGATATATCACATTTTGTATATCCATTCATCTGTTGAGAGACACTTGTTTTTTTTCTACCTTTTAACTATTGTGAATAGTGCTGCTATAAACATAACTGTACACATATTTGAGACCTTACTTTCAATTCTTTTGTTATGTACTTAGGCATAGAAGTGCTAGGTCGTATGGTAACTGTTTGACATTTTGAGGAACTGTCAAAATGCCACAGCAGGTACACAATTTTACATTCCCACCAACAATGTATGACAACTCAAATTTCTTCCCCATTTCTGTTTATATTTTTATTTATTTTTATTTTTATTAATTTCTTTATTGATTAAGGTATCACATATTTGTCCTCAACCCCCCATTCCCTCTACTCATGCCCCCACTCCCCTATTGTCCTTGACCACTGGTTAGGCTCATATGTGTGTACATAAGTCCTTTGGTTGATCTCTCCCTTTTATCCCCACCTCCCTTTGAAGTCCAACAGTCTGACCCATGGCTCCTTATCTCTGGGTCTGTTACAGCCCTCCTAGTGGGTGTAGAGTAGTCTCACATTGTGGTTTTCACTTGCATTTCCCTTATCTGGCTACTTTCATATATATTTTTCTCTAGAGGTCATTTGCCTGACAACCTTAGCCCTCTAGAGCATGATCCTTTATGGAACATATTGTGAAAGATTCCATACACAAATAAGAACAGTCATAGATCTTCTACATGAAAGCCCTGCACTTTGCTCCCTGAGGCCCCTCATTGACTGAGTAACTCTTATTCAACATGCATGATTGGCTGTTATGTTTTACAGAAGGGAACTGGAAGGTCCACTATAGCAGATATTGTGGCAAATAAGAGTAGAAGTTTAACCACTACAGTGTACACCAAAAACTAACACAAAAAGATAAAATTGAATGTAAGATGTGATTGCAAAATAAATTTTAAAATAAATAAATACATTTTCAAGTAAAAAATAATAGAAGTGACAAATATCCATCTGCCACTGAGGAAGAACTATATTTCCCAGGACATTTGTGATCCTGAGCCTTCAACCAAAGGCCAAATTATGTTCAATATTTTCTAAGAAGCCAAAGCTACATATTATACATTTTAGAAAGATTTCCATAAAGAATGACTCAAGAAACTCACCCTTTGCTTTTGAATAGATAAGTATACATGGATTTTCTAGATACTTAATTTCCCATTGGCACCTCAAAAATTATGTGATATTGAACTTCCTCTTGAATGTGGAAAAAACAAATAGAAAATTTGATTCTACGAAATTATAGAAGACATTGTTTTAAAAAAAGTAAATGAAAAAAATCTAAAGAATTGATTCTACTTTTTTGATAAAGTTAACAATTAGTTGATTTGTCTCATACTCAGTGCTTACTTTTGCTTTAGAAAATCCTTGTTACTTCAGTATGTGTTCATGGCATACTGCCAGTAAATTAACCTTTCGTCTGCCTTATCAGTGGAACTGCTAGAATTTGTTGCTGGTTGTCACTGGGTTAAACTGCAGACCTTAAAGCTGCACAATATTGAATGTATGAATGAACAGTGCTTTCTGCCTCACTTATTTGTACATGCAGAAACCTTTTTCTAAGTTGTTTCAATATCCCTTCATGGAGACTAATAACTAATAGACCATACACAGAAAAACCCCCAGCATCTTTTTAAAGTATTTCTTTATGTGAAGTACATGTTACATTTCTAGCCTTTATCCTGCCTCATTTTCAGTGGGTCTATAGCTAGTTATGTCATGACCATTTTATGTGATCATGAACAATTACATATCTAGTACACACAGAGTTACCTCGTAGAGCAACTTAAATTTTCTTAACAATTCCTGTTTTCTAGATTTTGAGAGGATATAATCGAGCCTTCCATCAGAATGTAGTAAGGCCAGTGAAAAGACAGGTCTGTGGTAGCCTGTAAAAACTTGAGAGGCACAGGTGCATCATAACTGTGTAAGAGTCTGTCATGTCAGGCTCTGGGATTTTCTGTGTAGTAGACCCAAGAATGACTTTCTTACCCCAAACAGATCAAAATTAAGAATTCTTTTTAAAATTGGATTGTTGCCTAGTCTTGTATTACAACAGTGAATCTTAAGTATTTGCTTCCATTCACTATGCACAATTCAACACTGGGAAATTCACATTTTATTGACAATGGCTAATTGAAGTGTATTGCACTGTCAGTATTTAGATGCTCCCTGTTTTAAATAGGATACAGTTACTTCTTTTCTAAATCTAGAGTTTAAATCAGAAACATTGTATGATATTTGCTAATTTTATTTTGTTTTCCTTGCAGGTTTCTGAGGTGTCTTTTCTGAAAGCTCTTCTGCTTTGATTCCACTTTAGAGCTGTCTCTTTATAAACTCCTCTCCTTACCACCACCACCACCACTCAGAACCTAGTGTGCTAATTCTTTTTATTTCTATGATTCTCAGTTTTTCATAGTCAATTTCCCTCATCCTGATTTTGCAGCAATTTTTTTTTACAATTGTAACATCCTTACCAATCTTAATCATTAAAGCCAAAAAATAGGGAGAAAAGCTTTTTTCCCCCTGAACTGAGACCATTTCACAAATTGAAGGACAGCCAACAGCATATGCTTTTTGCCAAAATAATTGAAAACATCAACTGGAGAGCACATAATTCTTTTGAAAGTCCACCAGTTATTTGAAGTAATTTTGGCAGAAGAACAAAATAAAACACTCAATATTTTAACCTTTATGGTTGCCTTCTTAGAAGTTGGTTTCTAATTTGGTTTTTAGTTATTCTGATACAATTTTTGTTGTATGATTGACTTTTTGTTTGACTGGACCTAATTTTACGGAAATGAAAACCTAAGTGTTAACGAAGAAAGATTTCACCAAAGCAAACTGTGATCTCTTTACATTTAGCTTGAATTCATTTTTAATCTTTTAACAACAGCAGTAATACTGTGGTAGAGAGGGTGCACTTTATTTTATTTTTGCTTTGATATGACCGCTGTTGATGTTGCTCTGATTCGCGATACCATGTGGCTGACTTTAGAAGTCTGTAGAGAATTTCAGAGAGGAACCTGTTCTCGAGCTGATGTAGACTGCAAGTTTGCCCATCCACCAAGAGATTGCCATGTGGAAAATGGCCGTGTGGTGGCTTGTTTTGATTCTTTAAAGGTGAGTCTCATCTAAATGCGCATAATGTTTAAATTCAATCTGTTTATTTCTATTTTTGAAAGGTGATGTGTTTTGAAATTGGTCAAGTTAATAATAGCATGAAAGTGGTTACATTTTTCTTCTGTTTGTTTTTTTAAGACAGGATGTAGACCTTGTGTTTGTACAACTAAGCCAGACTAAAGTTCACCCCATCAAAGGCACTGATCAAGAGAGATAGGTTTAAAGAAAAAAATTTAAGAATTTTTGTAGGAATGAGAAATTTCAGCCTTGCCATAATTCTTTGTGTACAACTTAGGTTTTGAGTACAGGGATCATAATCCTCATATAATTTAGTGAAGTCCTCTACTGAATTATGTTATAAAATACACTTGTCAAGGACCAGCCAGCTTTCGGAAAGAATAAGCTGAAAATATCACTAGCCAGAAAGAAAATGATGACATCTTAATATTTCTTAGTCAAAGTATATTTTGAATGTTTAACATATTGTTGTAAAGCTAAATTCACTTGTTTTATCTTCCTGAACTGCTATTTGACCAATCTCAGTTTTGTCAGTACAATTTGTAAGAAAAGTCCTATCGCCAAGGCCAACAAACCCAAATAATATGTAGAATAAACAAAATATGAAAGCAAAGGAAATAGTATGTAAAAATATACAATTGCAGAACAAATGTTTAAGGATAAAGATGTATAAATTAAAGCTTAGCAAGAAAAAAGCTTAAAATTTTTGTATGCCTTTTGACCAAGCATTTCTAAATATAAAATTGTATTCCAAGGAGAAAAAGCATAGAAGTAAAAAAGGAATAGATTCCTGGTTTAATGAGTAAGATTTGCTAGGATACATTAAATATTTTTTTTAAAATGTGTTAAAATGAATTAAGCTTAGCAAGAACTTTCCAATGTCTTTATATTATTTTATACTTGTCATGACCAATTTTACCTCATTACCATTTTTATTTATGCATTCACCAATAGAGATGTATTCCTTCATGTGCTCTTTTCTTCAAAAAACATTTGTCAAGTGATATTACTTGAGTAGTTACTTTTACTTATTTTGTAGTTACTAGTTTTTGTTACAAACCATTCCAGTTAAAGAATGAAGCCTTGTTACCATACATAGAATGGTAATCTCTACCATTAAGAATGTCTGGATTACTCATATTTGCAGTAATTATTATACTAAGGCTTATTCTATTTTCTTTATTTCAGTTTCATTCAAGTTTCCATCTACAGTTATTTTATATATTATTTAAATCTGCTGCAGAACTTGGCAGTGCCATGTAATGGAAGAGCATTGGGTTAGTTGGGGGGGGGGGGGGGACTGCGGGGAGGGATATGACTTTCATCCAGGTCATAAAAACGATCTTTCACTGCACTAGGAACTTCACATATTTATTTTCAGGAGCTCTGGGTTGCAGTCCCAGCCCCACTATTGACCTCGGCTACTTGAGTTCTGACACAACTTGGGTTCTGACACAACTTGAGTTCTTTCATCTCTAACAGATGGATCTTCTTCTCTACTTATCCTTCATGATATTTGTGGAGATTCCAATAGATAAGATAAATAAAAAATCATCCATTATTATAAAAATGAATTAAGTGAAAGGTTTTTTTTTCTTTTCTTTTTTTACTATTAGGAATCTTCAAAAACACTTCTATTAAATCAGTGTTTATTATTTAAAACGATATACCAGTACTCATGTTTCAAATCTATATGCCCAAAACTAGTTGCCTGAGTGTCATGTTAGTTCTTCAAACTAAGTATCAATGTTTTTATGGTTTACTCTTTGACATAGAGTTCCTTTCAGGTTTTGTAATGTCTATATTCCCAGGCATCTAGTGAAAGGAGACATGTGATGTTCCTAATCATTGTTACAGTTCAAACCAGTTCTTCCACTTAACGGCAATAAAGTGCCACAAAGGAAACATTTTGAGGAAAAGTAATATAGAAAGTGATTGTTAACAAAATGCATACTGCACTATCACTTCAAAGCTTGGAAAATACTTAATTCAGAAACTACATAGATAATAGCCAATAAGTATTAATAAACCTATTTAAAATATACTATCTATTCACTGCATTCAGAGTTTAAAAAATAAATTTGCATTATGTTAATGCCTGATGATCAGTTACACAGGATAAAATTTGCATCATTATTACATTATCAAATTTTAAGGAAAACCTTAATGTTTCAAATATACAATGCCTTTCAAAAAGTTGCTATTTAGATAGCACATTTGTCACAGTTCCATGTCTGCACAAAAGCTTTGCAATTCTCTTCTTTTATATTATCCTTATTCTAGACATGCTTGAAATGTATGCTAAGTTGAGGGTAATTGATCTATGTGGATTGTACTGTTATCATATCTATAATACACAAATTACACACCTCGATGGTTATTGCAACATTTGCTACCCTCCTCTTGAGTTTGTATAATTAAAACACCTTCAAAATGCACCTGTTTCTTTTTTTATGACTGGTTAAATAATTGAAGCAATCATTTGATGAGTTTTGGCTGATGCTTTTGTTGCTTTTTGTTTTTATTTTTTATTTTTATAAGGACTCCTTTAACAGTAGGTACTCTACCAGATGATGAAGGTTCTTTGCCTTCATAATAGGCAAAATAAATATGTCCTATACTGACTTCATAATGAGAGAATATTGTGAATATAAGGAGGGCAAACTTGACGGCTAATTGTGCATTGCACTGAAGTGCTCCGCCCATCACTTTGTGAATGTTGAGTGTTCAATGATAAAGGTTTCACTATCTTTAGATAGAGCCCTAGAGAGTGTAGCCCATAGATTATTTTCCAGCTACATAAAAGAGTATTGTGTTACATTGATATGCAGCTGTTTTTTACTCAATTGCCTAGTCTGCTTGACACAATTTATTTTTAAAAAAATTCACTCCCAAGTATTGCTTAGCTCATTCTGCACCAAATTCTTGATATTACAGTTTACCATTGATTTGGTTTGGTATTTTTAGTGAATGTCCCTGGCAGCTAACAAAGCATCATCATTAAAAATTCCAACATAAAATCTGTGAGATTATTTTAATAGTCAAGAACGTTATCTTCATGTATTTCTGCTTCAACAATGTCATATATTGAACCTTTCCTTTCATACCTGAAGCAGTGTGATATCAGCCATCTGTTATCCAGAAAGATTATAAATACTATCATTATTTCATTATGACATATCAATACCCATCACATCTGCCCAATACATTCACCACTTTGGGTAGTTTTGTAATAAAAGTTATCGGGAAAGGTCTTAACATTTGGCATAGTCAAAAAACAGTCATGTTAACCCATATATATTCCTAAAGTATTTGAACTGGGTAAGTTCAAATACTTTAACATAAAACAGTCCCACACTATCTTTAAACATCTCATATGATCACAAGCATAATATTTTCACAAGTGAAACCTGTTCTATAGGCCTAAGAATGTGAATCTATCCTTGTAAGTCAAATTGTCCTATTGTTACCAGTATATTTTGCGCTTAGTATCACTAGTCACAACAGTTTTCACTAGTTTAAAATTTGATCATCTTTTGACTGAATATTTACCTCATCCCAGTTTGCTAAGGGAAAATTTACAAAGAGCAGAAGACTCTTAGCAACATAATCCCAAGGGTTGCTGGGTTATGCAAGATTTAGAACCATTTTTTATCTCCATCAGAGATGTGTGCTGCACTATAAAGACATAAAGGCAGCACCTGTCATCTTTAGACTCAAGGAAAATAACATTTTACTTAAGGATCTCTATCTTCTATGATACTAACTTTAAAAAGGAACTGGTAAAGGTCAATGCTATTTTGGACATTTCAAACAGCACTTGAAAGACTCATGGACAGAGACAACTTTTGTTCCTTTCAGTTTTACATTCCACATATGAGTGAAATCATATGGTTCTTAACTTTTTCTGACGGATTTATTTAGCTTAGCATGACATTCTCAAGATCTAACCATGTTTTCACAAATGGCAGTGTTGCATCTTTTCTATGGCTGAGTAATATTCCATTGTTTATACGTACCACATCTTCTTTATCCAATCATTGACTGGCCACTGTGAATAATGCCATTTACAATGAACACAGGTGTGCATATATCAATGAATAAATGTTTTCAAATTTTGTGGTAGATACCCAGAAGAGCAGTTGTTTGGTCAGATGATAACACTATTCTTAATAGTTTTAGGAATCTCCGTATTGTTTTCCATTGTGGCTGTATCAGTTTCCATTCCCACCAGCAGAGAATGAGGGTTCCCTTTTTACCACAAACTCTCTAACACTTATTACTTGTCTTGTTGATAATAGCTATTTGAACAAGGATCTGGTGGCATCTCATTGAAATATTTCTTTTACAGATGTCGTATTTTTCTCCCATTGACCCTGCTCCATCCCTCACCAGGTCTTCGCTGCACTATTGTCTGTGTCCATGGGTTATGCACACATGCATATAAGTTCTTTGGTTAATCTCTTCCCATCCTTCCTTCCCTCTGAGACTCGTCAGTATGTTGCATGCTTATATGTGTTTGGATTTATTTTGCTTGTCAGTTTCTTTTGCTCATTAGATTCCACATATAAGTGAAATCATGTGGTACTTGTCTTTCTCTGACTAGTTTATTTTACTTAGCATAACACTTTTTCAGGTGCCTCCATGCTCTCTCAAAGGTAAGAGATACTTTTTTACAACATGGTGCTCCATTGTGTAAATGTACCACAGCTTTTTTAGCCACTCATCTAATTGTAGTTTTGATTTGCGTGTCCCTAATACCTAGTCAAGCTGAGTATCTTTTCATATATCTGTTGGTCATTTGTATGTCTTTTTCAGAGAATTTTCTGTTCATATCTTCTCCCCATTTTTTTTACTTGAATTGTTTGTTTGGTGTTGAATTGTATGAGTTCTTTATATATTTTGGATATTGATCTCTTGTAGGAGATATTTGATCAGAAAAATTTAAAAAACACCTTTTTTAGAAAACTGTGATATAGAGA